ATCGACCAGCCTGAAAAACGATTATTCTAGAACATGGTGACATTTTACAAGACCAGTGGCGTATCTGAGTCACAAAAATACACAATTGCACTAATATTGTGAAATATTTCCTTAATGACACGCAGAGACCAAGAATATTTCACTCGATCGATACTTGTTCTTAGAAAAGAATATAAATAACAGAAATCACCAACCTATCACAAAAAGATCACTTGTTTCATTTCAGAAAGCTTCGGATATTGGATATTGTAACCTTAGACGCTAGCACGAGCTAAGTGCTACGCTCAAGGTCGGAGGAATTGTAATATACTATTCCCTGATCTGTTGTTGCAAATGTTTCTTGCTTATGATTCAATTGATTAAACGGATATTTTTTGCAGTTATTTCCTGGGTTTTTGTCGCTCAAAAATTTTTGCCTCCTTTATGTCAGTCTTGGATTTAAACAAATAAAAGACTGCAATTTCAGCAATTTTTCACGTTTTAATATATCTTCCAAACATGTTTGTAAACAGTCTTCCCACTTGTTTTATTACACGGTCTATTTGTCAGCTTTTTTAGTAGTTTTCATCCAGAATATTTGGATAGTTGAAAATAATGTGTTACAGACATCACAATCAACCTACTGCTTTCAGTTTCATTTGAACTTACTAATCAATGATTTTTATTGTATGTATCTCATCTGTGACTACAGGGGGACAGACAAAGGCATTAAAGTCCTAAGTTTGTCTGTCTATTTATTTATCCTTCAAACAACAGACAAGCATTTTGAGATTCGAGCACTTCATATTAACTTTTTAGCGTATATAGTTGTATTAACTAAACTGTTAAAAAACCTTAATGATTAGATTAAAATATTTTTCAAATAGCCATGTTAATTCTCCTTTAATTAGTTTTTATGATGTCCTATGTTTTAGATATCAGTTACAGTTGCTTGTAGCAGCAAAAACCTACATCTATACAGGATTTCAGTTATACTTCATGCAACATAATAATTATCTTTTGTGCTGATTTCAGTCATCTACATCGTTTCTACCTTCATATACATCAAAATGATCCGTCAACATGGTGAACATGTAACGTAAGATGGTATGTACAAATATGAAATGTACTCATTTTCAAACATGTTTTCTAGTTATACATGATTACAATCCAAACGATCGTGATTTTGGTTGGAATCTCCATAACTTTTAATCCACACAGTTTTACTAATTTGATATTTTTTCACGACTTATAATCAACCCCAACTGTTGTTCCACATTACAAATATATGTGTCCATCCAGTCAATCTGAATTTAGGTCACCGCGCAACAGACTCTATGTAAATAAATTCCTCTTAATCGCGACCATTATTGGTATGCTATGTCTTATCAGTGGATCTTGTATTATATTATTATGGGGATTCATACCAGATTTGATTAAATTAAACAATTTAGTTTTAAAAATTAGTGCAATTATATGTATACTTGGTACTACAATTGTTTCAATCAATATTGTCTATATATACTGTACACAATTTCGGGTAATTAATAGAAAGAAACGAAAAAAAAGAATAAATACATTCAAAAATGGTGTTCATTATTCTGATGGAGATTTATATCCTGAAAATGAAAGTTTTACTACAAATTATCAGGTAATGTATTTGTAATTGGTTTACATTTCGAATGTTATATTTTTATTTGTTATTCTAATTTTGGAGGTGATTTTTATCATACCACCTAATATTTCACCCCGTTAAATAAAACGATCAAGTTCCTGGTACTAAATGTTGTTATCTTCCAAAAAATATCATTACTGGTTGGTTCTATCTATCGAGAATGGTTGTGATATTCATCGAAAGATTTGTTTAAACATTAAATAAGCAATAATTTTTTGAATTTTGTGTTTATGATCAAAATCAGAAGTCATGAATAGTAAATTTCTTGTGCTCATCCGAGTCGATATAAATAATTCAGATTACAGAGTTGAACAACACTTATTATGATATATATATATATATATTATTGATGAGTTCAAAGATATAGTTTCTTCCTGGTTGTCGCCAAAAATCCTCATACTTTAAAACCGTTCCTCCAGATGTATTTGTTTAAAATCTTGGTTATACATCGGACTGAAGTTAGGCTAAACAGTTGTGAGAGCGTCCTCATGAAACCTAACCAAGTTCGTTTTCCTATCAGTATTCCGTATTAAAACTTTTTTTTTTCAAAAGACCCTATGCTTGCTAATGGTCTTGCCTCTTGTATCAAATCATTGGAAGGCTTACGTTGATAATTCATCTTTGTGAACAGCCATCACTTGACTACTTGTTACTGTTGCGTGTCATCTGTCGAACAGGATTATATTTATTCCATTTTATTAATCGAAAAATCGTTTATGACACCTTAAAAAGATCATAACAGCAGTCGTATTCTAAAATAACATTGTATATATCTGTATCATCTGGATCCGAAAACCACAACTTGAAGGACTGTTTGAGATCAGTATGTAAGTATAAATGTTAGATTATTTGAACGGACAGTTACTTAAGTACCCAATGGAATATAACTGATGCTTTCATCATGCATTAACTTAAAATAGCCTCTAATCATCTATCAAATCGGAAGCAATGACCGCTAGTAATCTTTGGCGCAATCTCGTGCAAAGCTAATCAGCCGTGATGATATTTCATGAATGGACACCTATTCCATTTGACTTTGACTACGATAAATAAAAATATTAGGCTTCTGAAAACAAACGATACAAAACATAAGTGACTTCATCATATCCATTGAGAACAATCTGTCTCCTCTTTCCAACTTAGTCTCAATCGTCTTACTAGTATTTTACCAGATGACTTGATCATATCTTAAACCAAAATATTCATTTTCTGGAACTGGAAATTTGTGAAAATCAGTAGAAAACCTTCAAAAACTATTAGATATCGTACTAACTGAACTTGATTCATTTCACAGTTAAAACTAAAAAATTCATGTTTAATAGCAAATAGAACATTGCTGATTCACTACTTGTTAATTCATGACAAGTATTTTCTCGAGATCCGTTGATCCACATTTTAGCTCCTTTGATTCTTAGTTATTAAAAAAGTTCTCCTGAATAGAAGAAAAATGTAGTGCTTATGATATAGGCTTCAATAATATACTTCGACGCCTAACTAGTACTTGTGAAGAGCAGACTCGAGAAAACCATGCTAGTTTCAGACCTGAATGTGACTGTATAGACCAGATATTCACACTATATCAGGTCCTAAAATATGGACACACGTTCAAACGTCCTACAATAGTAGTTTTTCTCGAACTTAAGGCTGCATTTAACCCTATTCATCATAAGGTTCTTTGACAGTGTTTGTCTATGAAAGGAGTGCCAGAAAAGTACATTAGCTTTATACTGGCCGAGTTAGAGCATATGGCGAACTGTTATTGGATCTGATTACTTTAAGTAATGTCCGTCAGGGCTGTCTACGTTTTCCATTCTTCATTGTCATTGACATGCTTTTAGAAGTGACACCTTCATTGTTTGACTTTTCAGGAGTTAAACATTGCCTAGGAGCTTCACTTGTGGACTTAAAATATAGCGATAACATAGTTCTGTTCAGTGAAGAAGCGGACAAAATGCACCCTTCTGACCACCCTGAGCAACAATGCTAACAGGTTCCGGAAGCGATTCTTCCCCTCGAAATGCAAAATGTAACTTCAGGATCGTTTTGCATGGGCACCTGAACTATTGATGATAGGAAGTGAAGTAGTTGAACGTGTTGACCGCTTCACTTATCTCGGGAGTCTCATCAGTGCTGATGGCCTGGTGACTGATGAAATCTCAGCACAGATACGGAAGGCTCAACTAGCTTTTCCCAGCTTACATCATTTATGACGTAGGCGAGATAACCGTCTACCAACCAAAGGACTGGTTTACTGCTTACCAGTTCGCTTTACGGGTGTGAAACATGACAATTAAGAATGGAGGATAATCTAAGGTAATTAGTATTCGATCATCCTGCGATCATGCTTTAATCCAGTCTATGTTGCGCTAACAGTAGTAGAGGTGGTAGAAGTGTT